GGAGCGTAGCTCAGCGACAGTGTGTGTGTGTGTGTGTGTGTGTGTGCGTGTGTGTGTGTGTGTGTGTGTGTGTGTGTGTGCGTGTGTGTGGACCTGCTGATACCATCAAAATGAGCGAGAAAAGAAAGATGGTGCACAGATTGAGGGTCAGTGAAGTGTGTGTGTGTGTGTGTGTGTGTGTGGTTCATTTGGCTTTTGCTTTGCCACACAACACATCCAAAATATAGACGAGATCCACCACATCCTGTCTGTGCAGCACATACACATCAATGTCCACCCCATTCATTTTCTGTTACAGACACGCAGGAGGAAGAAAATATTTTGCACCCCCCTCAACTCTCTGCCGTCACTCAAGTATCACTGCGGCATGTGTGTGTGTGTGTGTGTGTGGTTCATTTGGCTTTTGCTTTGCCACACAACACATCCAAAATATAGACGAGATCCACCACATCCTGTCTGTGCAGCACATACACATCAATGTCCACCCCATTCATTTTCTGTTACAGACACGCAGGAGGAAGAAAATATTTTGCACCCCCCTCAACTCTCTGCCGTCACTCAAGTATCACTGCGGCATTACATCGTACCTTTATTGACAAGGAAGAAAACCAAAACCAAATGAAAGAAATGTACATTAACATATAAGAAAAGTGATAGAGAGCGACACTGCCACCTACTGGAGTGGATGTGCAATTGCTCTTCATTCTTGTGTGTAGCGTGCGTACCTCCTGACGGTGCGCAGCAAGGTGGAGCGAGCCTCGTTGTGAAAGGTGATGATGATGGAAGTCGGGGGGAGCTTGGCGTCGTAGCGCAACGAGCTGCACCTGCACACACACAAAAAAACAAAAAACAAAACTAAATTGGCAAACAGTAATAGCGAGTGCTGTGTTATCTTCACAAATCTCTCCCGCCCACACACGGACGTGCACAGGCGCATAGTTTCTCCTGAAGTGACACACGTGTTCGCGGCTGCAGAACATGAATTATAAATGAGCAGCCGAGCTCATTAAAAAACAGCCCGCAACAATGGGAAAGTGGAGGCCGTTGCCGCTGGATCAGCACACTTTTCTTCGCATACTTGTATTTTCCGAACTATAGGGCGCTTCGGATTATAAGGCGCACCTTCAATGAATGGCCTTCTTTAAAACTGTTTTCATATATAGGGCGCACCACGTTATAAGGCGCATAGAATAGAAGCTACAATAGTGGCTGCGGTTGCACTAGATCAGGGGTTGGGAACCTTTTTGACTAAGAGAGCCATGAAAGCAAAATATTTGGAAATGTATTTCAGTCACAGCCATACATATATATAAAACTGTATTTTAAAAGTGAATTCAACAAAATGTCAGTATAATAAGCCTCTGAATGTATTTTTAAAAATAATGTTGTTGTAATAGTCACCATTAATGTGAATGATTTTCCGTTCCTCAAGATTGCTAATGATCCAGCAAAGGTAGCGGAATTATCGTCAGCTTGCCGGGTCCATACGCGGAGTTGCTGCTGGCTAGCTTGCACACTGCTCAGTTGCTTGCACGCTTCCTTTCTGCTGTCTCCCGCAGGGTATTTTGATGCGAACGTAACATGTCGCGTGTCAAAGTGCCGCTTTACATTCCACCATTTCATCGATGGTATTTTGTCATTGCAAATTAGACACACCGTAGAATCTGTTCTTTCCACAAAGGCGAATCCTTCGGTCCATTCGTCCTGAAGTGCACCATACTCGTCATCTTTTTTTCTTTTCGCCATCTTATTCGTCGAAGGATTAGCTTTGAGCTAATGACCGAGTGGCCTGATTCAAAAGGGGGCGTTCACCTGTTACCTAGCAACTTCCATCGTTGGCAAGTATCATCCAATTAAAATTGCTCCCGCCGCCAACCGCAGCCCTGAACAGTGAAAAATCGATGGATGGATTAAACAAGCGAGAATATTTTGTTTTATCTGCGAGCCAGATGCAATCATCAAAAGAGCCCCACCTGGCTCGTGAGCCATAGGTTGCCGACCCCAGCACTAGATGGCGCTACGGTAAAGGGAATGCAATACAATACAGTGCAGCTTTATTTATATTGAGCCTTCACAACCGCTGCAGCTGAAACAAAGCGCTTCACAGAACATTTAAAATATGTCCAAGAAATCAGAATAGAGATCCATATATAAGGCACATCCGATTATAAGGTGGCACTGCGAAAATAGAATGCTTTTAGGTGCGCTTTATAGTGCAGGAAATACGGGAATTGTTGTTCCTCCACCTACGAGTCTTATTGTTATAGTATAGACCAGTCCCATACAGGCCCAGCGACTGCCCACTGGCTGCACGTGAGCCCCTGACGACATGACGTGGACACGTTGACATGTTGGCGAAGGGCGGGAAAGGCAAGGTCAGCGAGAGAAAATCCGGCTCAGCGGACGGCAAGACTCGAAAGCGCTGCTGCTGATGTTCCCGTCGCATTTTGACACCATGACGAGTCAGGCGGTGACCTTCTGAGAAGAGAGAAAATTAAAAAAAAAAAAAGACACGCACACACGCACGCGCTTGCACGCACGCACAGCATAAAGAGGACACTGGCCTTTATCGTGAGATTGATGGATGGTTAACATTTTGAAACAAAAGCAGCTGTCTGCCTCACCTGTGGCCTGTGGATTTATTGCTCTTTTTTGATTGTAAAGTGTCCTTGGGTATTTTGAAAGGCGCTTATAAATAAAATGTATTATTATTATTATTATTATTATTAACAGCCTTTGATGGAGTTAACGGCCAATGATAAAATGAACTGCTGCTTATGAAGATAACATCAACCCTAGGACGACGCACTGCGGGACGTCAACGGCTGCAATCACGGACCACTGACCTCCAGGATGACCCGTCTGACCACCTCAGGAATGAACTGAATGCCCCATTTAGGGAATTCATTGCTGTTCTGAAACGTGTGGACACTGCCCACACTCCTGTAGAAGATGGTGTATCACGGACATCCTTCATAAAACCAAGGAGACAAGCGCGGTTTCTTCAGAGCTGTCCAGGGACTGCAACGGTTTACACATCTCAGCTAGCTGCAGAGCTGTTCCGAGATTGTGAACCAAGACATGTCTCAGCGTACTCTGCTTGCAAGAAAAACAACTGTGCTTGCCCCTTAGTCTCTCTTATGTTTTAAAGTTTGTCTTCGGGGTCTATTAAATCCAACAACTGACCTTTGAAACTGCCCGAAAATATTTACTGTCAAGAGGCAGAAATTCGGAACATTTTGAGCAATTTAAAGTTAGACAAGGTCTCTCACCAATTAACTGCCAATTAAGTTCAAAATCAATTACTGTATTTTCCGAACTATAGGGCGCTTCGGATTATAAGGCGCACCTTCAATGAATGGCCTTCTTTAAAACTGTTTTCATATATAGGGCGCACCACGTTATAAGGCGCATAGAATAGAAGCTACAATAGTGGCTGCGGTTGCACTAGATCAGGGGTTGGGAACCTTTTTGACTAAGAGAGCCATGAAAGCAAAATATTTGGAAATGTATTTCAGTCACAGCCATACATATATATAAAACTGTATTTTAAAAGTGAATTCAACAAAATGTCAGTATAATAAGCCTCTGAATGTATTTTTAAAAATAATGTTGTTGTAATAGTCACCATTAATGTGAATGATTTTCCGTTCCTCAAGATTGCTAATGATCCAGCAAAGGTAGCGGAATTATCGTCAGCTTGCCGGGTCCATACGCGGAGTTGCTGCTGGCTAGCTTGCACACTGCTCAGTTGCTTGCACGCTTCCTTTCTGCTGTCTCCCGCAGGGTATTTTGATGCGAACGTAACATGTCGCGTGTCAAAGTGCCGCTTTACATTCCACCATTTCATCGATGGTATTTTGTCATTGCAAATTAGACACACCGTAGAATCTGTTCTTTCCACAAAGGCGAATCCTTCGGTCCATTCGTCCTGAAGTGCACCATACTCGTCATCTTTTTTTCTTTTCGCCATCTTATTCGTCGAAGGATTAGCTTTGAGCTAATGACCGAGTGGCCTGATTCAAAAGGGGGCGTTCACCTGTTACCTAGCAACTTCCATCGTTGGCAAGTATCATCCAATTAAAATTGCTCCCGCCGCCAACCGCAGCCCTGAACAGTGAAAAATCGATGGATGGATTAAACAAGCGAGAATATTTTGTTTTATCTGCGAGCCAGATGCAATCATCAAAAGAGCCCCACCTGGCTCGTGAGCCATAGGTTGCCGACCCCAGCACTAGATGGCGCTACGGTAAAGGGAATGCAATACAATACAGTGCAGCTTTATTTATATTGAGCCTTCACAACCGCTGCAGCTGAAACAAAGCGCTTCACAGAACATTTAAAATATGTCCAAGAAATCAGAATAGAGATCCATATATAAGGCACATCCGATTATAAGGTGGCACTGCGAAAATAGAATGCTTTTAGGTGCGCTTTATAGTGCAGGAAATACGGGAATTGTTGTTCCTCCACCTACGAGTCTTATTGTTATAGTATAGACCAGTCCCATACAGGCCCAGCGACTGCCCACTGGCTGGACGGTGGCCCCTGACGACATTACCTGGGTGGACACGTTGACATGTTGGCGAAGGGCGGGAAAGGCAAGGTCAGCGAGAGAAAATCCGGCTCAGCGGACGGCAAGACTCGAAAGCGCTGCTGCTGATGTTCCCGTCGCATTTTGACACCATGACGAGTCAGGCGGTGACCTTCTGAGAAGAGAGAAAATTGTCCCTCTCAAGTTTAGTTTGTTGGAGAGAAGAAGCAATGGAAGCGCCATGCTAATCTCATCGCCCGACTTCTCCCACAACGCCTCCGTCAGCTCCGATGAGACGATCAATTGTCAGATTGCGGCTTGATTAAATATCGACAGCGAGAGAAGAGAGCGAGATCGAGAAAGCATGTCTTTTATCAAAGGCGAATGCCAACGTGCACGAGGAACCACGCGCGCGCGCGAGTGTAATGCGGTGACCTGCTGAAGTGTCCTTGAGCCTGTCAGGAAATGTGAGCTCGTGCAGCGTGAGCGCCCGGCCGTGAAATAAGCCTATCAGGAGATCATTAAGCAGCAATTAGTTTTTTGTTTGACGAGAAAAAGGTAGAGGGGGGACGCAACAGCTCGGAAGGTAACAAAAGTAGGGTGCACAGGACACAAATTAAGCCTCAAAGTACGCTATAACCCTTGAAGCAACAGATTGAACACAGCGGCACTTGAAGGCACACAAATTATCAGTACTCACAGTCACACATTCTTTATCCTCTGCAAAGAATAGATTGGTATTACTGCTGTACTGATGAGCTGAGAGATTACCCAATTGACAATATGTTGGTCTGTCTATCTTATATTGCCCAAGGTGGCCAAGGCACTACTGCATGTTTTGACAAAGTTCACGATCCTGGCGTGCTATTTTTCCTCATTAATTACACATTTCAAAATATTTTGTTGAGTTTTATAAGGACGGATGAAACGGGCACAAAGTAAGCTATAACCCTTGAAGCAGCAGATTGAACACAGCGGAACTTGTAGGCACACGAAATAGCAGTACTCACAATCACACATTCTTTATCCTCTGCAAAGAATGATTGGTATTAGTGCTGTACTGATGAGCTGAGCGCTTCCCCTATGGACAATATGTTGGTCTGTCTGTCTTATATTGCCCCAGGTGGCAAAGGCAAGGCACTACTACATGTTTTGACAAAGGTCACGATGATGGCGTGCTATTTTTCCTCATTAATTACACGTTTCAAAATGTTTTGTTGAGTTTTATAAGGACGGACGAAACGGGCAAAAAGTAAGCGATAACCCTTGAAGCAGCAGATTGAACACAGC